AGGTACAAACACACAAGATTTTTGGAGCTGCGGTCAGCAACCAGTAGATGTGATCTACCAGTAGATCAACGGCCAGGTGACTGGTAGATCATGGTCAGGGCTTGCTGACCCCCCCCCCCCCCCCCCCCCCCCCCCCCCCCCCCCCCCCCCCCCCCCCCCCCCCCCCCCCCCCCCCCCCCCCCCCCCCCCCTGCCAATTCAAGAGCAAACAGAGTGCAATGCAGAGGGACTATTTGTAAAGTTGAAGCTTGTAGTAGGGAGCAAGAGCCACATAAGCCAGTGTTTCCTCTGTAGTGCTAGCTTCCTACGCCTTGATCATGATTGGTGGGTGTAGCTCCTGCCAAGCATGAACCTATTCAAGTGAATGAGGCTTCTCTGCAAGGGCCCTGTAACCTTGTGCAGTATAAGCAAACAAGGGGGTTAAACAGAAAGCAATGTGCAGAAAGCATGCAGTTTCGGGACACTTGCAGACTGCCCCATTTTACTTTTTTTTTAATTTAAATATTTATAGATTTTTTCAGATAAACAAGTTATACAAACATACTCATTAAAACCTTGACACATTATCAAAACATTTATCGTTTCCCCCCTCCCCTACCTATATACCACCCATCCCCCCCCCCCATCCAACCCTACACCCCTTCTGCTCTGCATTTTCCTATTCATTTTTCTGGAGATCGTAATCCCTAATAAGAACAAAATATATTTCCTTATTATTCTATGTTAATCCCCCATAACCTCCATAATTAGCTTTAACTTTTTGAATTCCTCCCATTTGTTCCATCTTGTATGGTGACTCCAATTTACATATTTGATCCACCCTATCCACCCAGTCTTTTATTTTTGGCACCTCCTGTCACTTCCAAAACTTGGGTATTAGTTCCTTTGCTGCATTCAAATAGTACAATAAACCAGATTCTTTTATATTTTTTAACTGAAAGGTTAGTACTATGAAAAAGGCAAATCTATGGGTCTACTAGAACATCAACCTCTGTAATTTTCTGAATCAAGCTTACTATTTCCCCCAATACTCTTGTATTTTAGGGCACTCCCACCATATGTGATACATTGTGCCTCTACCTCCACATCCACGCCAACATAAAGGTGAATTATCTCCACTCAATCTCCATTCAATCTATCGGGGTGACATACCATCTTGCCAAACATTTATAGTTAATTTCTACCCGCCTGCAGATTTATATTTCCGTGAATTATTCTATACATTTTCCTCTGTTTTTCCACATCTATTGTTACTCCTATTTCTATTTCCCATTTTTCTATACATGGAGGACTTATATCTGTGTTTATTTCAGTGAGAATTTTATAAATTTTAGAAGTTCCGTGTTTCCCATCTCCCCGTGTACCCAACAAGTGCTCAAAAGGATTCCAATCCTCTCTTGTTCTTGAAGGCTTTGGAAGCTTTCCTATAAAGTGTTTCAATTGAAAATAGCGCCACTCATCCATTCTCGTAAAAACGTCTCCTTTTTTTCCAATTCCTTAAGTGATCCTATTTCTTCCCTTACCATTATATCCCTTAATTGTGCATCTTCCTTCTTAATCCACTTCGCTGTGATACCTTCTTTTCTTGGGGGGAAAAACTCTGTGGACCTTAAGGGCATTAACAATGAATTAAATTCCCATCCCATCTGTTTGTGCAAAACATCCCAAACTCTTAAAACATTAAATGTGAACAAACATGTACTATCTGCTAATCCTTGGTATTGTGGAGGTAACCATACGATTCCACTTAAATTAGTATTGCTTAGTATATTTTCTATTTTAACCCAGCTTTTCCCCTCTGCATTATATGTCCAGTCAAGAATTCTCGCCATTATTACCGAGTTATATTATCTTTTTAAATCTGGAACTCCCAATCCTCCTTTCTCTTTATTTCTACTAAAAATTCCTGGCTTATTCTCAGTTTTTTATTCCTCCAGATAAATCTTGTTAACATTTTTTTTATTGTTCTAAAGTATACTTCTGGTAGTTTAATTGGTATCATTTGAAATTTTATATAATATTTTTGGAACAATCACCAATTTTTATCAGATTTATACGACCTATCCATGATGGGGTTCCCCCTCCTAATTTCCTTAGTTCATCCCTGATCTCATTTAACAATGGGATATAATTCAATTTATACAAGTTCTTGGAGGATACAGTTAATTTTATTCCTAGATATTTCAGTTCTTTTTCGCTCCAAACAAAGGGAAATTCCTCCTGTAACCTATTTTTCTCTCTGTTTGGAACATTTATGTTCAAAATTTCTGTTTTTGTTGGATTCATTTGTAGATTTGATATTTCCCCATACTCTTTAGTGATCTCTTTAAGTTTGGCAATGTTATCCTTGAATTTCCCACATAAAACAGCATATCATCTGCATAAGTTGCCTCCTTATGCTCTATGTCTCCTATCCATATTCCCTTTTATATCTATATTATCCCTTATTGTAGCTGTAAGGTATTCCCCCTTTCCTGGAATCCTCATGTTCTTATTTGCCGTGCGGCGTCTGGGTGTGGCACGGGGCTCGATCGATCGGGCAATTAAAGTAACCAACAAACAAGTAGGATACAGGAAGATTGCAAAGTTTATTACGTACATTACAGTTTATAAAGGTAAAAACCACAAACCCAAATTATCCACTAGTAAGACAAAACCCAATTTATCCAATAGTAAAGTAAACCTAACTTATCCAATAGCAAAGCGTACCTTTTACTTTTACCCAGATACTAGACAAAGTTCACCTTTCCTTAAACTGTTAAACTGTTAACCTCAGTCAGTACATCCTGCTGTTTTGGCTGTGTTCCCAGATCTCTTATCTGAGCATCTATCTATGTTTTCTACGATATTTTGCAGACACCTGCAGTCTAGCGTTCATCCTGTTACTTTGTGGTTGTACCTGTTACTTACATACACATATTAAAATTTTCCTTATAAGCTTGAAAATAATGCTGACATTTCTTATATCATTTACTTAAGACATCATAATTTCATCTACTTAAAACATCACTCTAACTCTTATCACAATGCAAGCATAATGAATACAAAATGGTATACCTGAAGCAAAAGCCCTAGCTCATATTTCCCCACAGTAGCCGATAGAGATTCCAGTGACAAAACATATAGAAGTGGAGACCCGAGGGCATCCTTGTCTTGTTTCATTTAGCATCCCAAAATTTTCTGATAATTCCCCATTAACCATGATTGCTGCAGAGGGTTGACTCTATAATTTCTTTATCCATTCTCTCATTCTATGTCCTGTCCATCATATTATCCCCAATCTACTCCATGAAATGTATTTTCAGCATCAATTGAGAGTACCACCACCGCGGGGGTTTTCTCTTTCCTGCTTTTTTGTTTGAGAAACAGAGATCTCAGTCCATTATCTCTACACTCTCTCCCCTGGAACAAAGCCCACTTGATCTATGTGTATCCATTCCGACATTAGATCTTTCACCTGTTTGCCAAAACTTTTGCATATAATTTAGTATCCGTGTTTAATAAGGAGATTGGTCTGTAATGTGAACAGTGAGTAACATTTTTACCTTCCTTTTGTATGAGAATTACATGTGCTTGTAGGGATTCCCTCCTCATTTCTATCTCTCCCCCCAATGCATTCATATATATCCTCAATTTGGGTACTAAACAGTTCTTTATATTTTTTATAATACCTCACAGTATATCCATCTGGTCCTGGACATTTCCCAGCTGCAGTACTTTTTAGTGCTAGTTGTATTTCTTCCTGTGTTATTGCTAATTCAAGGGATTTTAATTGTTCCTCACTTATTTTCGTTTTTCTTGCATTTTTTAAGTATAACTCTTTTTTTTCTATTTTTCCTACTCCATCTTTGAAGCACATTCATTTTTTCTCTTCTTTCCCTCTTCTTCTTTGCCCCAATCGCTATCAGGATTCCTCTAATATAGGCCTTATGAGCCTCCCACATCATTGCTGCAGACACTTCCCCAGTATCATTTTCCTCAAAAATTGCTCTATTTTTTATTTTATTTTTTGATCCGTCTCTTGATCCTGGAGTAGTGTCTCTTTCAGCCTCCATGCTTCCCCCTTTCGGCTCCTTTTCCCATGCTAATTGCATTGTGACTGGCACCTGGTCCGATAATGACATCACTTCTATTTTTACTTTGACCAAAGACTCAATAAGTCGATGTTCCAGCAATACATAATCCAATCTTGAGTACATCTCATGTGCATGGGAATAAAATGTATAATCTCTTTCCTTCACATGCTTAATTCTCCATATATTCACAAGTTGGCATTGGAATATCTCAAACAGTTGGCATTGAAATATTTACATTTTCCGCAGTTCTGGTTTTGGGGGGGAGGCCTATTTTTGTTTTGATATCAAAATGCGTCTTCCATGGGTATCCCCCTCTCAGTTCTTTTCTTCCTTTTTCTCTCCCTCCGCTCCCGAACTCATACCCGGGTCCACTTCTTCTAGGTCTTTATCTATTTTACATTGTCCTCCTTCTGATTTTCCTCTAAGACCCTCTGGGAGAACCCCTCTTCAGTTTAAACATACAGTTCAATACATACAGTTCAGTTCCCCTGCAATATATTAATCTCAGTACTTTTGCCGCTCTCACACCTCTTGTCCCAAATACGGCTTTTCCCCCATATGAGATCTCTGTCATATATGAAGAAAAGGGCTTCTCTGAAAAACGTTTCCCGCACTCCGAACAGGTGTACAACTTCTCCATGTAAGATCTCTGATGTGTGTGAAGACTGGGCTTTACTGAAAAGTATTTCCCACACTCAGGACAGACATATCTCACCTATGTGAGATTTCAGATCTATGTAAAGTCTAGACTTATCTGAGAAAACATTTCCCACACCTAGAACAGAGATATAGCATCTTCCTCATGTGAGGTCTCTGATATATATGCAGGCTGGACTTCTGTGAAAAACATTCCCCGCACTCTGAACAAGGGTATGGCTGCTCCCTTTTGTGTTATCACTAGTATATATAAAAAATAGGACTTACATTAAAAACATTTCCCGCACTCCGAACAGGTATACAACTTCTCCTCTGTGTAAGATCTCTGATGTGTGTGAAGACTAGGCTTCACTGAAAAGAAATTCCCGCACTCAGGAGAGACATATGGCTTTTCACCTGTGTGAGATCTCTGATATATATAAAGTCTAGCCTGGTCTGAGGAAACATTTCCCACACTTAGAACCGGGCTATAGCATCTTCCTCATGTGAGGTCTCTGATATATATGCAGGCTGGACTTCTGTTAAACATTTCCCACACTCTGAACAAGGGTATGGCTGCTCCTTATATTATTACTGATATATATATAAAAATAGGACTTACATGGCAAACATTTCCCGCACTCGAAACAGGCAAACTTCTCCCCGATGTAAGATCTCTGGTTTCTGTAGAGATTGAACTTCTCTGAGAGACATGCCCGCACTTAGGGCATCTCTTCCTTTACTCCAAGTGAGGTTGAGGCGGCTCCAGGTACTCTCTTCTGGGGAACATTGCACTCGACATTCCCCTCACACAATGAGTAGTTTGCGGGGGGGGGGGGGGGGTTCACCCAGCCCGTTTCCGCGTATCTCCAGCTGTCACGGTCCTGTGTGCAGGAGGAAGAGAGCCGGTGTCTCCCTTGCTCCAAGAAACGCCGGCCAGCTTCTCTCCCAGAGCTCCCTTGTGACAGTTCACCTGATCGCCCGGTTTCCACTGAGCTCCGGGGAACACACAGCGCCGGGCCGAGAGCACAGGAAGACTCGCCGCAATGGCCGCCACTCCCGGAGGTCCTCAGTTCACGTACCCCGCCAGGCAAGCACTCCCTCTCCCCGGCTAATCTCTCCAGCACGTCTCTCCCCTTCTTGGCAGTACACTGGAGGTACTTTGGAGCCGGGGGCCCTCACATCGAGCTCCTGCTCCAAGCCATGGTCAGGCTCCTCCCTGCCCCCTTTTACTTGAATGAGTGTCGACTGACAGGTGGTAGCACCCACCAAACGCAACAGGGTTTAATTTTTGCTGTGGCATTTGTACACCTTTTAGCTGCTGCCTCAGCAGCAAAAGGGGGTAGGGATTGGGGCCGGTAAAACTGTTACTCAGCTTCAGAGTTTTACCACCCCCAACTTTAAATGTGAATGAGCCCTAAGAGTGCCGCTGCTGGATGCAACTAAGGGCTCATTCATAAGTGCAGCAGGCATTGCAAAGCGATCCAAGTGTGTTTTGACCAGTGGTGAGGAGGCAATATGTTGCCTCCTCACCACCTAATTTAAACCCATGATGCCGTGCAATGCATGCGATTGTGACAAGGTAGTACGGCAATTAGATGTTTAAATCACGTGCGAGGAGATGACACTGGGCAACACTGTACCCGGTGATCTTTGATTTCTCCCATGTTGTTCAGGTAGATCGCCACCTCTTTAAGGTTGCCTACCCATGTTTTAACCATTTCAATACCGGGCAATTTTACATGTTTCAGCGCTCTCACACTTTGAATGACAATTGCGCGGTCATACAACATTGTACCCAAACTAAAATTTTATCATTTTTTTCACACAACTAGAGCTTTCTTTTGTTGGTATATATCACCACTGGGGTTTTTATTTTTTGCTAAATTATCAAAAAAAGACCAAAAATTTTGAAAAAAAAAAACACGTTTTTCTTTGTTTCTGTTATAAAAGTTTACAAATAAATAATTGTTCTTCATAAATTTAGGCCAAGATGTATTCTGCTACATGTCTTTGGTGAAAATAACCCAAATTAGGATGTATTATTTAGTTTGTAGGAAAGTTATAGAGTTCACAAACTATGGTATAGATCTGAAAATTGATTAATCCTGAAGTACTGACAGCCAATCTAATTTCTTGAGGTCCAAGAATGGTACAGAATAGTACAGATATCCCCAAATAACCCCTTTTTGTAGAGTAGACAGTCGGACGTACTTCATAAGAGGCATGGCAAGTTTTTTGAAGTTGTATTTTTTTTGTCATAATTTTTCGGAAAATGAAAAAATTAAAAACATTATTTTCACTTTTTTTTTTACGTACTGTAACAGCATCATCATATAACTGGCATGGCGGTGAACAGGGACACTGGTGACAGTATGAAAAAAAAAAATATATATATATATATTGTTTTATTTTTTTATTATTTTTAATTTTTTATTACTTTTTTTTTTTTTTAAGATTTTGTTTTCATATTTTACTATGGCCAAAGTAGTACAATGTTACCATAGCAACATTGTACTACTTGGGGAAGTGATCAGTTTTTTTTTTTTTTCTTACACAATTGCTATAAGCAAGCATTTACCTTGAATTAAATTGATTCATTCAGGTTTTTTTTTTTTTTTTGTGCTTAGCTGTGATTTGGCCACAGCTAATCACATGACATGTGCATGTGACCTGCTGTGACCATTCACAGCTAGGCACTAGTATACAATGGATGGCATGAATGAAGCCATCCATTGTATACAACTGTCATGTGACCTGCTGTGATTGGTCACAGCAGGTCACATGGTACCGGCAACGGGGGCCGATACTCAGATCTGTCATCGGCCGTGTCCGAGGTACACGGCCGGTGACAGATCGCGCCGCTGAGTGGCTCTGTAACCGCGCGAACTGTGCATGTGCGGGAGCACGCCAAATGGCGTGCACCCGGTAAGGTGAAGCATTATTGCTGCCGCCAAACGGCTATAGGCCGGGCGGCTAATGGTTAAAGTAATGAAACCTTCCTCTCATGATACAATGTTTTTGAATTAAAGATGCATAATACTCCCTATATCAAAGATTGACCATCTCTTATGGAAAAAAAAATATTTGCCTGCCTGAATCTGGATCTGGGTTTTAAACAGTTTGTGTAAACAAACTTAAAATAACCAAATATGAATGTGTGTCTTCGAAAATTTCTATAGACCATCCCAAAGAAGAAACCGATAAAAAAAAAAAAAAGTGCAGTGCATACAGTATATACAAACATTGTGCTGAGAATAGTCATGGTCAACATAAAATGGATGTCATAGCAATCAATATTGGTGCATGACCTGAGTCCTTCTTATTTGGTTAAATGAGAACATGAAATTGCTATAGGAAAGTGTGAATGAAATTAGAGAAAAACAAGCAAAGGCCAAAGGAGAAAGAAGAGGAAACTGAATAGAAACAATTAGGCCTCTTGCACACTGCAGCTTGAAAAAAGCTCAGTACAGCGTTTTTTTTTTTACTGAGGTAAAATGTAGCCCATCTTTTACAATGTGCCTTTGCACGCAGATGCCTAATTAAGCGCCACATATTCCTTAGTAAAGAATAATCTGCATTTTTGGTCAGTAATGTACGCCGCCTGCACGCAAATGCGTGAATATGTCTGTAAATACGTACATATGAGCATACATATTAATTGATCTTCCCTAAGAATGTATTGTGCACGCAAATGTGTGAATGTACATATGTGCACAAATATGTTCATAAATACGTGTGAATATGCACAAAACAAGTGCCTGAGATTATGTAAAAAAAAAAAAAGATGCTTAAATATCAGTACCATGTGCAAGAGGCTTTTAGGGTATGTGGTAAATCAGAGGAAATGTGAGTAATAGGAGGTAGAGTGACAGGAGCAAGCGCTGAATACTCAGCTTATAAATTTTATTCAGCCAGGGGGAGATTATATTGTGCAGTTATATGGAGAAGACTCCAAGGTGCTCAGTGTATTCTGAGAAAGCGGTTTTACTACACAGTTTGTCAAGTGACCTTGGCTCTTCTTCATTGTATTTACTCAAGCCAGTTGGCTCTGCTGAAACACAGTTTCTGAGTTATGGCAACAGGCATGCTATCCATATGTGATCAGTGTTTTGACTTTTTACAGGCACAGAACGTCAAATTTGCTTTTATAGGTGAGGTCACATAAAAAATAGTTTTCATGGTTAAGGTCTGCCTTAAAGTGGTTGTAGACCCTTACATATACCAACTGAAGTGACTGGCCTCAGGTGATACAGGGAGATGAAACAAATCTTCCTACATAAGTAGTACCTGTCAGTCTGCAGTCTTCTCTACATGCATTCATAGTGCTGAATTTATACAGCTTGTCTGAGCGTTCACAAAATAGGGGGCATAGAGCTGAAATCGCACTCTGCAGAGCTCATTGAGGAGAGCACAGAGAGCTGATTGGAGGGAAGAGACACCCCCTCCCTCGACACAGCTCACAGGAACAGAGCTGAGGCTGCCAATCTGCTGGAGCTCTCTTCCTCTGTCAATTTTTTTCTCTTGGTGTCAGGAAAAATTGTCAGAAGTGATTCATGTAGATAGTTCATATTTCATGTCTGAGATTTATAACCACTTTAATTTCCCATGCTGTATATTTTGATTAGTAACATACTTTTGTTTCCTTTTTCAAAAAGGTTTCTTTACTAGTGGTTGTAGAAATTGGGTGTTTTCCCTCTCATTTGTGGATGGTGGTTGGATATATGCTCATTGGTGAGTAGAGTGTAAAATTTTATTACATTTAAGTAGCAAGATGTACCTAATTGCCTGGTAATTTTCTACTTCAAAGCTGTAAATTTTCCTGAAATCATAGATGAGCTTTTATATAAAAATGTATTCTTAGGAAAATGTATTTTTACCCATTACAATCAATTGGCTTCCAAATTTTTTTACTTTAATTTCTTTATTGACTTTGTAGACAAAACAATAAGTCTAAATTGTTGTACAATATAAAATGCCTAAGATCACATGAGATAGTGGTTCTGTTTTGCTCACTTGACTTTAGGAAGGGTAAATCAAGAGTATACATCTTATAATGAACTATAATGAACATTTTTTTTTCTAAAGAAAAGAAGTATAAGTATAAAATAATAGGACAGAGAATAGGGACTCTAGGCCAATAATTACATTGGTAAATCATTTTTAAAGTTGTTCTAAAGGCTTGTTTTTATTCTTCTTTAAAATAATAAATACATCATACTTACCTGTTCTTTGCAATGGTTTTGCACAGCACAGCCCAAGGTTTGATCCCGAGTCTGTGATTGACAGCAGCAGGAGCCAACGGCTTCTGCTGCTATCTCTGAGCCTTTGGGAAGGGAGAGAACTACTGCTTTTGTGTACACTGTTGGATTGAGATCGGGCTCAAGTAAGTATAAGGGGGGGATGGATGGAACTGTTGGTATAAAGGCCAATCTTGTGCTCCATATTCTCAACTATGATTTCTGTGATACTGAAGGATCAGAGCGAATAAATTGTGAAAAGGGTTTTATGATGAGGGTGAAAATAATGGGGGTAAGGACAGGGACAGTGGCAAGTGCCGTTGGTTATTTGGAAGGGGTTTGAAAGGAATCCCAATGTCCTCTCTCTAATGTATAGGGTTTCAATAGCCAATTTTATGCAGCTAGTTATACCACAGTTTTTGAGAACAGATCTTAAGTAGTTCCAGTGAACCCTACTGAATGCC